GTCGAAACGGGCGGTCACGCACTCTCAAGCAGCGGCGAGCAGCACAACCGGCGGAACATGTCGCAGCGGCCTTCCAACTCGTCCGCGGTGCCGACGTCGATGATGCGGCCGTGGTCCATAACGACGATCCGGTCGGCGAGCGTCAGCGTACTCGGGCGGTGCGTGATGAGCAGGGTCGTCCGGTCGCGGGTGAACTCGGCGAGCGTCTTCTGGATGAGCTGCTCGCTCTCCATGTCGATTTGGCTGGTGGCCTCGTCGAGGATCAGGATCTCGGGGTCGCGGAGGATCGCCCGCGCTAAGGCAATCCGCTGCCGTTGTCCGCCCGACAGGCGACCGCCGCCGGGACCGACGTGCGTGTTGTAGCCGTCGGCGAGTCGCTGGGTGATGAACGTGTGGGCGTGGGCGCGCTTGGCGGCTTCGACGATCTCTTCGTGCGACGCCCCCGGTTTGCCGTAGGCGATGTTCTCGGCGATGGTGTCCGAAAGCAGCAGCGCCTGTTGCGAGACGATGCCGATGCGTTTGCGGATGTCGCGGAGGCGGGCGTCGCGGAGGTCGACCTCGCCCAGGTAGACGGCGCCCTCGCACGGGTCGTAGAGCCGCGGCGGCAACGAGAGGAGCGTGCTCTTTCCGCAGCCGTTGGGCCCGACGATCGCGATGGTCTCGCCGCGGCGGACCTCGAGGTTGACGCCTTCGAGCGTCAGGGCCTCGCTGTTGTATTGGAACGAGAGGTTCTCAAACCGCAGCGTCCGCCACGTTTCGGGGATCGCTTGCGGCGACTCGGGGTCGGTGATCGAGGGCTGGCGATCGAGCACCTCGAAGACGCGTTCGCTCGACGCCACGGCGCTCTGGATGATGTTGAAGACGCCCGACAGCCGCCGCGCGGGGTCGCCCATGCCGGCGAGCATCGCGAAGAACGCGGTCATCTGGCCGTGCGTGAGCGGCGTGTCGCTGATCGGGATGCCGAACAGGCTGGTCTGCTCGTTGAGCACCAGGTACCCGCCGGAGATCGCGCCGAGGATCACCATCGCGACGCCAACGTTTTCGGTTAGCGGGCTGGTGAGCGAGTCGTAGGTGGCGATCCGCATCTGCCGGTTGTAGTAATGCTTGAGCCCTTTGTTGAAGCGCGAACGCTCCGACGGTTCGCGGCCGAACGAGCGGATCAGCCGCACGGCGCTGAGGGTCTCGGTGAGCGACTCGTAGACGCCCGACAACTCTTCCATGGCGCGGCGGTTGGCGCGTTTGAGCGACTTGCCGAGCCAGCGGATCATCAGCACCGCTAGCGGCGCGACGACCATCACCAGCAGCAGCAGGCGCCAGCTGAACCACGCGGCGCCGATGGTGCAGGCGATCATCTTCAGCGGCTCGCAGATCGCCTGACCAAAGACCGTCTGGACGCCGTAGCCCGTGTTGTGGATGTCGGTAGTGCAGCGCGTCATGTGGTCGCCACGGCCGCGGTCGGTGAACTCACCGAGGTCGAGCCGCAGCAGGTGGCGGAAGTACTCCTTGCGGATGTCGAAGGCGATGAGGAACCCCAGTCGCGACACCAGCAGTTGATTGAAGATCCGGAAGACGTTCTTCACGAGCGTCCCGACCATCAAGAACGCGCAGACGCACGCCAGCGTTTCGAAAGGCGTGTCGGGGAGCCAACGGTCGGCGAACGGCTGGATCGACCGCCAGCGCTGGTTCTCGGCGGTGGTGAGCCCTTCGCGCGTGCGGAGATTGGTGATCTCCCGCGCCAGCTGCGCGGCGGTCTCGGGGCCGGAGATCGACATCCGCCGGGCTGCGGCGAGCCGTTGCGACCTGAGGTCGGCGAGGGCTTGATCGCCTTGCTCGATCTCTCGCACGAGCCAGCTGGGGATCGACTCCCCCTGCATGACGGCGTCAACCACCGGCCACACGGCGGCGAGGTTGGCCGCCCAGAGCACAGCGACCAGCACCGATGTCGCCCAGACGGCGGCAACGGTCCCGGGGTAGCGGGCCGCCAGGCGCATTGCGCGGCCAAACTGTTTCATGGGTCGTCCGTGACGGGGCATGACGCCGGGCGCCAGCGGGGCGATCCGTCGCCGCCGCTGTGGGTTCAGGGTTGTATCAGACACCCGCGTCCCGACCAACGGCATCGGCCGCAGCGGCGCTGCTAGCACGAATGGGACTCACCGAGTCCCGATCGCGACGGCGCCAACGATGACAACGGCGGCGCCGAAAGAGTGGATTGTGCCGGCCGTGCCGCCGATACCGTACCCAGCAGGCGCCCCGCGGCGCGCGGAGGCCGATCGGTCGGCCCTACCGTGATCAACCGGCGCGGCGAAAGGCGGGGGCCTTTAGGGGGGGAATCCTATGAAACTGCGCTTTGCCGCGCTAGCGGCGGCGCTCGTTGTATCGAGCGTCGGTTGTACGGCGATCCAATCACGCGGACTTGGCTGCGGCGAGCCGTGCCATGTCGCGACCTCGCAGCACGCGCCTCGCGCCACGCTGCTCTCGGGCCGTTGCCCGACGTCACTCGGCCTCTTCGATCGCCTCGGCTGGACCCAGAAGGGTTGCGGCGAGTGTGTCGGCGATGGCTGTGGGGCGGGTTGCGGCTTGTTCGGCGCCGGTGGCGGCGGCTGTGGCGACGCCTGCGGCTGCGGAAACTGCGACAACTGCTTGCAGAATGGGCAGAGCTGCCTGCTCGACTGCCCGGGTCACAACAACTGCCGCAGCGCCTGCGGGCCTTACGGCTGTGGTCCCGGTGGTTGCGGTCCTGGTGGCGGCTGTGGCGACCAGAACTACAACTTCAACCCGGGCCCGCCCGTGGGGCAGACCGCTTACCCGTACTACACGACGCGGGGACCGCGCGACTTCCTGATGTGCAACCCGCCGTCGATCGGGCCTCGCTGACGCGAGGTGAGACTTGAGGTGTGAGACCTGAGGGTTGGGCTGCATGCCTTTCTCCTCAGGCCTGTTCCCTCGAGCCTCAGGACTATCCAAGCGTGAACGGACTCACGCCGCCAGCCGCGTAGGGCGCACGGAAGCGCCCACCGCGGCTGGCTTTTTTGTTTGATGGCGAGCCCCCGAGGATAATCGGGGGAATGAAGTGGGTACTCGACATCCACCCCCGATTAACATCGGGGGCTTGCGTCAAATCTGAAATGGAAGCTACCTGTCCCGCAAAATCTCCTGCGCCGCGTTCTTGCCGCACGCGCCCATCACGCCGCCGCCGGGGTGGCTGGCGGCGCCGCAGAGGTAGAGGCCCTTCAGCGGGGTGCGGTGATCGGCCCACCCGGCGATCGGACGGAAGCAGAACAGCTGGTTGGCGTTCATCGCCCCTTGCATGATGTTGCCGCCGGTGAGGCCGTAGACACGTTCGATGTCGAGCGGTGAGAGCACCTGGCGGTGCTCGATCGCCGCCGGGACGTTCGGGGCGTACTCGGCGATCTTGGCGACGACTTTGTCGGCGAAGGCGTCCTTGATGTCGTCCCAGTTGCCGTCCTTGAGTTTGTACGGCGCGTACTGGACGAAGCACGACAAGAGGTGCTTGCCGGGCGGCGCGATCGAGTTATCGACGCTGGTCGCCATCGTCGCCTCAACGATCGGCTCCTCGGCCGGCTTGCCGAGCCGCGCGTCGTGGTACGCCTGCTCGAGGTAGTCGAGCGTCGGCGAGATGTGCATCGTGCCGTGGTGGTGCGGCGCGACCTCGCCCGGCGCACTGGGACGGGCCGTGAAGTTCGGCGGCTCGCTCAACGCGAGGTTCACCTTCATCGACGCCGACGCGTAGTCGATGTTCGCCACCGCCTCGCGGAAGTCGGCCGGCAGGCTCGATGGCTGGAGAAACTTCTCGAACGTCAGGTGCGCGTCCACGCTTGAGGCGACGATTGGCGCCGAGATGGTCGAGCCGTCTTCGAGCGTTACGCCCGTGACTTTGCCGTTCGCTTCATTGATCGACGCGAC